GCGTCGTGAACCCGCAGCCTGGCACAAAGGGTTGGGCCACAGCCAAAATGCCCCGGGGGTGCCAGAGACTCCAGGGTGGGGGAGAGAGGAAGGACCGGGTCCCACGGGATGGGAACCCAGAGATGGAGACCCAGCAGGACCAGCAAGACGAGCTCACCAACTTCTACCCCCTCACTCACTCCACAGTGGGAGCCTGGGACACACCAGGGGCAAGGAGGGGACAGAGGGGGCAGGGAGGGCCACCCTTCTGCCTCGCCAAGCACAAAACCTGCTCTCAAGGGGTCTCAAGCCCCCTGCACTCAGAGGGAGCTGGGGCTCTTGAGCTTGGAGCAGAGGAGACTGAGGGCTGCCCTCATTCCTGGGGATCCATTGGGAAAGGGCAGTGTCAGGAGGAAGGAGCCAGGCTCTGCTCTGGGATGTCCAATGCCAGGACAAGGGGCAATGGTCCCAAGCTGGAGCACAGGAGGTTCAAGCTGAAGATGAGGCCAAAGTTTGTCAGTGTGAGGGTTATGGAGCATGGCCCAGGCTGCCCAGAGAGGTTGTGGAGTCTCCTTGTGTGGAGACACCCAAAGCCCTGGCCGTGTTCCTGTGTGACTGCTCTGGTGATCCTGCTCTGGCAGGGGTTTCACTGGGGGAGCTTTCCAGGTCCCTTCCAGCTCCTCACATTCTGTGATTTCTGTGACTCACGTGAGGGAAGGTGAATTTGCGGAGCACAGCATCATAGCCCTTCTTCTGCATCTTCTCCATCAGTGGGCGGATCACCAGCTGGGCGTCCAGGCCTGGAAACCAAGCAGAGCTCAGCCAAACTGGGACAGAAGGGACAGACCTGAGCCCTCCTCCTCCTCCTGGTGACCGTGGCCAGCCCTACCCCCGGAGATGAGCGCCGTCGGGCTGTGTGCCACGGCTCGCACGTCATGAGTGTGGTGCTGGAAGGGCTTCGTCCGCACCCAGCGCTTCTCCAGGCTGCCCACCTTCACCGGCAGCAGCTGGAACTGGTAGGTGGCCCCCGTCGAGGTGCCCACAATGATGCTGTCCTCCTTCTGGGGACAGAAACGGGGACGGGGTTTGAAGGCACAGATGGGGAAGAACAAGAGGACAGCACCAGAAGGCAGGCAAAGACCAGCAGCCCTGCTCCTGCCAGCCCAAAGGCACCAAACCAGGCAGCCTGGGGGGCACACGGGGGGATTTGGGTGTCCCACCTACCTCAGACACAGCCAGTGAGAGAACCGGCGAGGTGCTGACGGTGTGGGACTCCTCCAGCGTCCCTCGCTCCCAGTCCCAGAACTGCACCCTCCCGAAGGAGTCCGAGGTGACGACGGTGCCGCTGGAGAGGAAGGCGATGCTCCACACAACGCACTCCCGCATCACCTTCTGCACCTGGTAGTTCACCATGATCCGCTGCACCGTTTGGCCTGAGACGGGGGAAAAACGGTTGTGGGTGGTGAGTGAACCTCTCCAAAGCACCAGGGGGTGTGTGATGACGTTCCCCAGGGCAGGGGACAGACGAGCTCACCCCTTGGGGTGGGAGTTACCTGAGGAGACGTCGAACACGCGGAGGATGTCGATGGAGCCGGCCGCGATGTGCGTGTCCGAGGGGTGCCAGGAGAGGCACAGGATGCGGCCTGAGAGGGGGAAGCCCTAAACATGACCCTGGGGACTCGCAGCCCCTCGGTCACCAGGATCAGAGGGACACCACCACCGCAGCACAGAGCCCTCCCGGTCTCACCTTTCCGCCTGTCCAGGTTCCGCTCGAACTGGATCCCCCCCAGCACAACTTGGAAGAGTTTAACGGAGCCGTCCTCGCAGCCAATCTGTGGGAGGGGGGTGGTCAGCCCCATGGCCCCCCTTGCTCTGCTGTTACCCCCCTGATGGAGTCACCCTGAGCCACCCCGGTGGCGCTCACCGCCAGCTGCGTGCCGCTGCTGTTGGCCGCCATGCTCCAGATGGGCCCCCCACAGCCGTCCACGGGGCGGGCAGCACAGAGCCGGGCCAGGTCGTACTCGATGATTTCCCCGCTCAGACCGGCCCCGAAGAGCCGCTCGCCGGCCGCCCAGCACAGGGACTCCACTGAGCGGGCATCGTGCCCGGGGATGACCTGTGGAGAGACGCTTGTTATCCCAGTATGGACCAGTACAGCTCAGTATGGCTCCATACAGCCTGGTATGGCTTAGTACAGCACCGCATGGCTCGGTACAGCCCCATACAGCCCTGTACAGCTCAGTACGGCACCGTACAGCCCAGTACAGCTCAGTACAACACTGTACAACCCAGTACGGCTCAGT